CTTTACCATTTACCATACGACGGACATTTAAACCTCTCGTGTTGGATATTGTAACCAAAGCAGTGAGTACCTATGAGTCTGCGACACTAAACTTCCACAGACATCCTTGTTATATGAAAAAAAAACATTGCTCATGAGATTGCTAAAGAGAGTATTGTTTCATTCACTGTACAACGGCTGGTGCTGTCCTCTGTTCTTGACTCTCCATTTCTTTTTGTTCTTGCTTCGCAGTGTCAGCCTTCATTTTCTGGATGGCATCGTTGCAGACTTTCAATTATTTTGTTTAAACCCGTTGATTTCTTTGCCAATCTTTTGACGAGCTGTACTAAAAAAAACCATTATTCGATTTCAGCCCCCGTAATACAGAAGAACATGAAGAAGGTAAAATTGGAGTTTAACCCTTTAACTTCAAGAAGTAATTAGCATTTAAAGTGCTACTGCGACGAAAGTTTTTCATTTTATTTTCCCAATTTCTGGTGTTAACTTCATATTTAGACCCTAAACTATAAGAATAAGCGTAAGTTTCTCAAATTTGACGACGTTATTCCTTTAAAGCAGCGCCGCGAAGACATTAAAAATTCTTCCGCCATTGCTCGAATAATACACTGGAGAGCCCGCGAAAATAACTTCAGCGGTTTTAGTTGTGACGTCATCGACTCACTTCGACAACGCTGCGAAGGCATGCCTTTACAAGAAATACGCAAAAGAAAGCTGGGGAAAAATTCTTTAGAATTTTATTCCTTCTTTCCTGCGGAACCAGAAAAACAACTCTCTCTCGTTTGTTGAATCGTTGACATCACTTCCGTTCTCGACCCAGTTACTTCTTCTTCGCGCGGAGTTCTGTAGCTCGAAGAATGGCGGCCGTTTAGATCGCGAATTTAGTGGGAAAATGTTACTTCTCGATGGAGTTTTTCCTTAAGATTCGGCAAATTTGTTACTTATGGTAAGTACTTTCAATCTCTGAGGAGAAAAGAAAAGGTGCAGTTTTGGTCGCAGTAGCACTTTAACTTCTCCCTAAATAGCCAGACGTTACCCAGTTATCAGGTAATGGAAATATTCAAACTTATCAGAAAAAATTTATCTTGATCTGTTACCAAAAGCCCTCACTCGCTCTTACCTCGCTCGTTCGGGTTTTTGACACAAACAACTCGTGAATAAAACCCCATACGCCGCACTTTCTATGACGTAAACTATATCTGCGCCTTATGTTATATAGCTCAAAGAAAGCTGATTGACGTGTTTTGTTTATATGGCCGCGAAACTGGAAGTTAGAATCGAACCAGACACCTAAATTCCTAGCTTCACTGACTGATTTTACTTGCGTGTCACCAACCATAAGGTGGACAATTAAAACTTTGCTGTTGCTGGCGAGTTCCTAGAGCATGAATTCAGACTTATCTTCATTCAGCTTTAATTTATCAACAATCAGCCACGCCCTTACGACCCTGATATATCTTTCCATAGCACCTCTTGCTTCCGTCTCACCCACTGAACTGTCTGGCTTCAACGACAAATAAAGCTGAGTGTCATTAGCATACGCATGCGCATTAGGCAAATGGTTCTTGATAACCTGGAACAGCTCGCTCGCATAATCAGAGAACAGAAGTGGTCCGAGGCATGACTCTCGAGGAACTCTAAGTGACAAATCAAATCTATCAGACAGTACACCATTAATGATGATACTGAGATCGAGCTGACAGGTAGGAGGCGTTCCATTTGAATCATCTCCAGTAACACCAAAGGATGTCTCGAGACGGCGTAAGAGGATGGTACGGTCGACCGTATCATACGCAGCGCTAAGGTCAAGTAATACAAGCAAAGACACCTGTTGACTATTCATGTCAATTAAGATGTCATTTACTATCTTAACCAGCGCGTCTCAGTGCTAGGGGATTTCCTGTAAGCTCACTGCAACTCGGGAAACAGTTCGTTGTTCATGACGTGGGCGTATACTTGGTCAAATACTGCTCTTTCAGTGATCTTGGACACAAATTGGAAA